GACTAGGGTATATTTACCTTTGATGTGCATGTTGATAATATCCAATGTCATATACTATATATATGTACTTCTTTAAGTTCCAAATCCTACCCATTGAAAAATTCAATCTTGCTTGAATTAAGTAGAGAGAGAAAGAGAGAGCAAACCTTGAGACCTCCACATGCCACCCATTTCCCTTTGAGAGTTTACATTCTCCATTGATGATCTTTGAAGCTTGATGGTAGTCATACTCCATAAGATCAAGCTTATCTCATACCATAATTAAGGTATTATCTCTCTAACCTATTTTATGTAAAATATCATTTTATTATTGATTAAAGGTTCTTGGAAATTTTATTTACCGTCATAATTTAGCTTCTTTAGACCTCCATTTCGATATTATCTTCATGCAATTCGTACATAGTGTGATCCCTTGCTTGCTTATGTGTTTTATGCATTGATAAACCTTCGATCATGTATAGTTTCCTTTGATCTACCTTGTATGAATTCTCTTGAGCATTTCTAAGTCTTGTTATTCAAATTCCATAGATATTTAGATCATCATAGAAGTGTATTTGGTAATTTAGAGTGGGAACTTTTGTATGAAAAGTTGTTGTGGTGGACCGATGGACAACCACAAGTAGTTTTCTCTATCTTGCTCCATATTAAGCTGATTTTCTCCATTTTATTCTAGTAAACCTTTTAAATAGATTTTGTGGACCCTAAGAAGTGGTTTTAAAAGTGTAAGAGCTTTCTAATTAGATTCGACTCACTTGATATTATAAATCACTCTTGCACTATTCATTGTGACAAAATTAAGTACCTAAAAGGCTCGAATTTTTGGCCTGGGCACAAGGGGTTCGAATCATGACTTCCCGCATATTTGTATGAATGTTTATTTATTGTATTTACAGTTATTAAATGATTTATGGTTGAAGAAATTGTGTTAGTCAAGTGAAAAATAGAATTGTGATTTCAGTCTTATGGTATGAGCTTTAATGTTATGTTTTATTGTTTGTGTAAATTGAAATCTCATTCAAATATTATAATCAACTGTATGATGTGTATGAGACATTGTAATATATGGTGAGAATGGATAATGAATATAGATTTATCATGGAATTTTGATATAATGAGGAATTTTAAGTGCAGGTCATGTAATATGTCGCTTAGATGTATATTATGAGTATTTTGACATTATATTGAATTTAATTGTATTTTTGAGTTAGGGATTTGTAAGGGACCTATTTGGGTTGACTTTTTATTATTCAAATGTATATAAACCAAGCTAGTAGGCTGGATTATGGTTTTGTATTGAGAGATTCATGTATTTAAACCCTTAAGTTTTAATACAATGAATTTTTTTTTAACAGATTGTGCACCTAGCCACTTGATCTTATACCACCAACAGGTTGCACATGTATGAGAGATAGCCCTTATGCACTATAGAGTAATGGATTGTATCAAGTCTAGGTGACATTTGTTTCTTCTCTAGGGGAGAATCTGAAATCTATTGACTGAGACTATGACCCCTTGCCCATTGGCTAGACTTTAGTGACCCACTAATAAGCCCCTGCATTGACTGTGGGTCATGGGCAACACTGGGTTGGTTTGAGAAATCAAGTTTGGGCTGTGGTCCACAGTAGAAGGTAAAGTGCCCTGGTGTATATTTATTCCCAGACCGTATGATTTATTTTCCCATCAAAATATTTAATTATGTTTGTTTTAATGTTATATGATTTTTAGAATTGTTATTTGAATTTTTTTAATTCTTTGGATATTTTATTTATCAAATTTAGATTTGTAAAAATAGAGATATTGATTTTACAATGATTTAATTATTCAAATATGATTTTATGAATTTTTAAAATCATAATTATTTTTTAATATTTTTTTTATATTGCATGGGAGGCCCAATAAGATATATGGGCCACACATCAATTATGTAGGGCCTATAGAGTGCCACCTAAGGTGACACGCCCCATCTTGAGGAGTCTTCTATTTTTGTGAGTTCAAGCTCATAGCTTTAGGGAAAAGAAATATTGTGTTTTGGAAAGCTTGTGCTTTGAGAAAGTTTTGATTCAAATTTTGGTACGTGTGAGAAGGTTTGTACATAAAATAAGAAAGCACAATATTATCATATAGAATTTTCTTATTTAAATTAATTGATGGGAAAATAGTTTAGAAAATGGGGGATAATGGTTCTAGCACGTTCCATATGATCTTAATGTCTTATCTATAGAATGGACGAAGCATATTTCTTACCCCATAAGTCACCCAAAATCAATGGTGCATATTCAATCTCACTTGAAGAGGCAAGCCATGGAAAACTCTAAAAAACCTTAAAACCCCTTGATGCACTATAAAAAAAGATGGACCGTACCCAATATTCTCTACATCATTCTCTCTCTCATAAACCTATCATAAGGGGAACGGCCCACTCATAGGAAGTTTCTCTCTCTCTTGAAAGCCTTCTATCTCGCCTTATGTCAAACAAAGGGGCACGTCGCACTCATGGCCTCTCGGATCTCCCTTTCTCATCTTGTGGTATTATGTTAAGGGTATAGGGTGTAGTAAAAAAAATGTTATCTCTCTCAATTAGGTTATCAAGGGGATTCACCTATGTTTGAGATTTGTGATTGAAAGGAATCCAGATTCCAATGGAGTGATCTGACCTAAATTTGCTTTTTCGAGATTGAGATTAAAAGTTGACCATTGATCACGTGCCATCAGAAGGTGGTGACTCGGTGTGGGGTGTAAGACACCCGGTTGAAATAATCTTTAGCATTCTCTTTTTTGTTTATTGCCATATTTACTCATTGTATCTTTTATTATTATCGGACATAGTTTGTCTTTCTTTGGTTATTAAAAGAAAGGTTTATAGAGGCATCAAGTTTTGAGATCCTAGATTTACTTCTTTTATTTTATTTGAAATTGATCTAAAATGACTACTTGTGAGTGATCTAAGTCATGAAGAAAAAGAAAATAGAATAAAAAAAGAAGAAAAAATATATATATACTTCGCTAGATCACACAAGTCCTTCCACTTTATATAGATAGGTGGTGGCAATTATTCCATTGACCAAGCTCAAACTTCAAAAGAAATTTTCACAAACTTTGTGACACATCTAAGCTATCAAATTTCACATCGGGTGGTTGTACGTAATTGTGATCACCTTGTATTAAAAGTAAATAGTCTTGTATACAATCTCTAGATTTAAATACATTTCTCTTAGAATTAGGACTCCCATCTCAGTTCCTTATCCCCTGGAAGTTCTTCTACCCACAAGAGACGGTCGTACAAAACCTAATTAAGAATTGCAACACAATTTTAACTAAAAATGTCTAGAAATAAATGTTCCTTTAATATTTTGGCATCAAATTTTTATTTCTTTCTTTTTCTTTCTTTGTTTCCTAGATGTTTTCCTAGTGCTGCTTTTTAAGTGGCCGTTCGCTAGATGTGATTTGTTTTCTGCAGTAGTAATGCTGCGACAAAAGATATAGGCAGACTGTTTGTCGAAGGCGTCGTGAGGACCTTCACTAAGCCTCCTACTTCTTGAGTCTCAATGTTGATACTTCATCCTAGTTTAGATTGGTGTTCTAAAACGCGCAAAGTCCGGGCTTGGTGGAATGCTGAGTCTGGAAGGCCCCCAACTCATTGGGGACCTAACTTGTACAGTACCCACCCAAGTTGATACAGTAACTCGGCCGAGTCCACAAAAATTCACCTTGCGTATTTTTAAGCTAAGGGGAGGGGGGCACGAAAATTAAAACCCCTTTCTTCCATTTTCTTCATCATTCCTGTTCAATTCTCCCTCAATTCATCCTTTAAGGGTGGCAACAAGCCGATCTTGGGCCAGGCTAGCCTTGGCCTAGCCCTTGTCCCTATCTGGCTTGCCCACGCCCAAACGGACCATAACAGGCAGGCAGGGCACAAAACAAATGAAAAAAAAAAGAAAAAAGAAAAAAGAGGACCAAGCGGGGGCTTAATTGGGCCAATATAGGCTCTGGCCCTAATACCGCCCTAGGGCCATAAACTGTGGTCCAGGCCCTACTTTTATAAAGCCAAGCCGCCTGGGCCAAGCTGGGTGACCTGGCCCGTTGCCAACCTTATTCATCCCTATGTGTTAAATAGTTCCAAATCAATTAAAACACTTGATTCGACAACAAATATATCCAAAATATCGTATTTGTTTTATTTTTTATTGAACTAAGGTTTGGTCATAGTTGCTTTCTAACTTATTTTTCAACCTATCTCGATCCACCTTGAAATTTGTCCTTGAGCATATTTTTGTGCTCTATAAAATCCAAAGATTAAGATAAAAAAAAGAATAGAAGAAAAAACGAAAAAAACTAAAAATCTTGGATTTGTTAAATTCTTAATATCGATTGTTTAGACGCATCAATGCAACCCTATGTACATATAAAATAGAGTTTTTCATTTTTAGTACAGAGCGAGTCTTGGCTTGTGGAGACTAGTTTGGGTAACTGTACAAACATATCTATGGTTTTTCAACTTCATTTTTTTGAGCTTCCATGCATGCCCTGTGGTCATTGCAGTTGAAGGTATATGTTTTTTCTAACTGTAACGGATATTACTACCTGTGGATATCGTTGTAAACTGTGATTCGTCCATATGAAACATGAGGGTCATATTAAAATGGAATAATATCCATCTTTCCATTACAGAAAGAAATTGAGAGATCACTCGTAGGTGAGAACGCGCATAGAGAGGAGGGCATTGTTTAAAGTTTCATTCTCACTAGGTCACATCTCCACATTAAAAAGAAAAAAAATAAAAATATGAGTTCCATTTGCACTAGGTCACAATTCGAAAAGAGAATCTCTACTTCTTTTGGAATTGGCCCTTGGCTTGGGTTGTCATGATGGCGGAACCATGATGTGAAGTCAAGGATTCCATTCCTAACCATGCATTTCAAAAGATAGAGAGAGGGACCAATGACATAACCTATGGTGTAACTCGTAAATGAAAGATCAAATCTCAAGAATCCATCTCTGAGCCAAACAAAACTCACAAAAATGAATAGATATTTCAAGTTTTACAGCTGAAGCACATCTCAGCATTTCTCATATTTCTCATAATCTGAACCAAAAAGGAATAGCGATTATCATTCCCAAAACCAAGACTCCATGACTCTTTCCAAGTAAAACATGTCCAATGTACAATTTTGAGTTGAAGCTTAAAAATTTTTATCCCTTAAGTGATACTCGCCATCCCACAAAAAACTGTTTCAATGCTGAAGGATGCGAAAATGGCATTATGGGTTAAGAAATGGAACTACGTTATATAGGAAACGATCGCTTAATTGGTCGGCAATTGACGATGTGCAGCGCTTCGTCCTAGGCTCAATTCCTACCAAGGGTAGGGGCCCTCTCCCTAATCACCCACCAAAAAAAATACTCACCCACCATCCATACCTACAAATGGATGGTCGGAGATTAACTTGAGTTGTGTACATTTAATTGAACAGACGGATATAGCCTTTGAGTACCATATACCATTATCATAAACTAAATGGATTCCGGTTCTTCCCTCAGACCAGCTCTGGACCATCTAGAAGACGCTTGTATCCATGGTTTTCTTCAGGCTTCTTAATGGACTCAACAGGAATGCATTTTATGATGATTGCAACAAACATGCTCACAAATCCAATCACAATACTTGCTAACCATAATTTCCAGCTCAATGGAACAGTGCTTGCAAAAGTTCCCAGAAACTCGATAATGATCACCTGAAACACAATTGTGATTGACATAACAGCAACGAACATCCAGCTGCTCAGCAAGCCTTTGAATATGTTTATCTTCTCTATCTCTCTGCTGTTTAGTTCATTGAAGACCTGACCAAAAAGGAACATTGTTATAATAAGTGACTAGTCATCAAAGGCTTTTGGCATATAACAGAGAATGTTGGAATCTCTTTATATCATATATTGAGCTTCTGGAAACTGTAGGAACCATAATTCTCAAAAGAAGGCACTACAGTTTGGTTTTGTTATGTTTCAGTTAGATGTTATATTGCACTTTTTGAAATTCTTAAAAATGTGACATCAACTGATTTTTTAGGGGCAATTGGTGAATAACTCCTGAAATCTTCAACAAATTATGAGAAAAATCTCAGGCAAAGCCATTCATAAACAACAAGAATGTCTCTTGAATATCTACAAATGGGAGAACCACCCTATTGTGCACTATAGTGTGGTCATTCTATTAGAGGTCACCGGCCGCAATTAAGAATACAAAATAAAGAAATAATAATTTAACCGGGAAAAAGACGTATATCCCTCGCTAAAATTATTAACTCAAATAACCCACCAGGCCTATAAAAAGCCCATGAAACCCCACAAGTTAAAAGAAAAAGATATTTAACTCCCTCTTTACCTTTATTGTCCAAATTACTACATTTACCCTTCTTCTGTTTTCTAATTACCTCATCATATAAATGGAGTTTGTGATGCTTCTTTTAACTTACTTGTGAGGCTTCTTTTAACTTACTTGTGAGGTTAATGAGATGAGAGAGAGATATATAAGTACTCAGGAAAGGTTGCTAGAGAGACGAAGAGGTCCATGGGTGAGGAATCGAGAGAGAGAAGGAGAGCTTTTCCAGGATTTAAATACCAGGGTGAATAAGGAAAAAAAAAAGGATAAATTCTATAATTTCGTCAATGGAAAAGGTAAGAAGGGGGTTAAAGTCTTTTTTGTTTAACTTGAGGGGTTCCATCGGCTTTTATAGGAGCAGGGGGTTATTTAGAATTATAATTTTAGAGATTTAGGGAGGCGTTACATGTCATTTTCCCAACTTAGTTTTATCTGTTGAAGTGTTCCCTAAATCTAGATTCCATTAAGATTATTCGCCACCCAACCATTGGCATTCAAATGATAAAAAATAGTTTTTTCTCATCCTCAAGAGCTCAGAAGAGAATCAAAGAAATGAAGAAGTGCCACCGAAAAAAGGTGAATCACAAGGAGAATCTAAGTACAGGACTGATATACCTGGCCTGAAATTTATATGACCAAACAATAGGCAAGGAATCTTTCATGCATAAGCAATACTGAGCAGATCACTGAGGAACTAAGAGCTACTTTACCATAACCCAGAAATTAGGCACCTGGACCACTTTAGACAGGAATCCATAGCAGACATCAATAATTTTATGCTTGAGGACATGTGGGTCCATAACACACATGCTCAGTCCCTCGTAGAACCCACTGAGAGAGAGAGAGAGAGAAGAGAGAGAGACATCTGAAGTCAGGTTATAGGACATGGAGTTGTAGGTCCTCTAGTACTGGTTAAAGCAAGCTAGCATGAAGCATGACAAGGATGCAGGGGCCAAGACTGTAATGAAAAGAACATACACGACTTTTGGTTCCAGAAATAACATGTGAAATGGCTTTAAGGAAAAAGAAACACAAACTAATTCTACATCATCCCACTTTTCAAGATAATGAAGATTTCTATCATAAGCACTTCGGGAATTACAGACTACCATTTTAGACCAGTGGAAGACAAATTAAAAGAAGCTATTGGACACTTCCAATCATCCGCAGGCAACCAAGACCTGTAGGTTTTCCTTCCAGACCTCCATGCTGATGGTTTCTGGACAGCTAGTTCAAAATGACTTCTGATGGACGCAGCTACTTTGTGGAAAAGGTTTTGTGGTTAAGCTTATCCTAGCATTACCAATGGGACAATCTTTTTATAGCCTCCAAAAATAGAAAAAGAATTAATAAATAACTCATAGGTCGAGAACAGGTTTTGTGCTTTCAATTGTATTGCAGTGCTACACGTCAACATTTCTCAAAAAAAAGAATTGTATTGTAGTGCTACAATGATTTTAGTAAGGTTGGCAATGGGCCAGACCATGGCTAGGCCAGCTAGGATGAAGGGCCCTGGCCCAGTTACCCGGCCCAAGCATGGCCTTGCCCTCAAGCCATATTTATAGCCCAGGCCCGAGTTTTTTATGGCCTGTTCATCGGCCATTTGCCAGCCCTAGAATTTAGAAGGCACCACCACCATCATCATCATCCGATCCTTATCCCAACTATTTGGGGTCGTCACACAAATCCTGCTCTACCATTCTGTTTTATCAAAGGTGTTACCCTTAATCAGACCACAAGTCCACATATCTTTTCCTACTACTTCCATCCATATCCTTTGGGCCGTCTCCGTACCCTTTTAGAGCTTTCCACTTAAACCAAATCAACCTTCCTAACCGATACTGTTCTAAGTCGACGTTGTATATGACCGCACAACCAAAATGTACTTTCCCTCATTTTATTGCCCATTGGAGCTACCCTTAAATTCCCTCAAACATAGTCACTCAAAATTCTATTCTTCCTTGTCTTGCAACTAATCCATCTCAACATCCTCATCTCAGCTACACTCATTTTATAGATATATCGTTTCTTGATCGCCCAATATTTCGTCCCAGAAAACATGGCTGGTCTTGTAATCGTCCTATAAAACTTCACCTTCACTTTCATTGGTATGCAATAATCACATAAAACTCCAGAAGTACATCTCCACTTCATCAACCGAGATCTAATTCTATGAGCAACATCTTCTTTAATCTCTCCTTTCTCATGGATTATTGACAAAAGATATTGAAAATAATCTCTTTTAGCCACTTCGCCATGAATCTTAACTAATGTCCCTCTGCTCCTATTATTGCTAAACTTGAATTCCATATATTATGTCTTAGTCTGGCTAATTTTAAAACCTTTAGATTCTAAAGTATCCCTCACAATTCTAACTTTGCGTTTATAGCATCTCTAATCTCATCAATCAAAACTATGTTATCCGCAAATAACATACACCACGGGCCCTCATCTATAGATGCCTAGTTAACTCGTTCATAACCAAAGCAAAAGATGTGGGCTCAATGCTAACCCCTACTGTAAGCCTTCTGTTACTGAAAACTAACTTGTCTCTCCAATTGTTGTCCTAACATTAGCTAGTGCTCCCCCAACCATGTCAATATATTCTCTTGAAACTCCTTTCTTCTCTAACACCCACCGAATTCTCTCTCTAAGTATCCTATCGTATGCTTTCCTTAAATCAATAAAGACCTAAACTTCTTAATCACTAAGTAGGACAATAGCCTCAATGGTTGACCTCCTTGGCATAAATCTGAAGTGATTTTCTTATACACTAATTTCATGTCTCAGTCGTCGCTCAATCACTCTCTCCCACATTTCGATAGTCTCATAAATTTGATCCCTATTAATCCGTGTAGTTTTGTATGTCTCATTTGTACTTGTAAATAGGTACCACAATATTTTCTCTCCATTCATTTAATGCTTTCTTTATTCTCAAGATCTTGTTGAACATCTTGGTCAACCAAAATATGCCAATTCTCCCACGCATTTCCAAACCTCTATTGGCATATCATGTTGTCCTAAAGCTTTTTCAATCTTCATCTTTCTTAAAGCCTCTTTCACTTCAGATATCCTAATCCTATGGAAGTGCCTATGACCTTTGACCTCATTTATGTTTACGGATCCTCCTAATGTTGAGCTCCCAGAGTGGTCCATTATTTAACAATTTCTGAAAATAAGTTCTCCACCTTTCATTGACCTCATCATTCTTCACCAATATCCTCTAATCCTCACTCTTAATGAATTTAACATAGTCTAGGTACCTACACTTCCAATCTTATTTTTGCTAGTTTGAAGACATCTTCTTCACCTTCTCTTGTCTCTAAATTATTGTATAGTTCATCATATGAATTGAGTTTAGCCTTACCATTTTCCTAGCATTCCTCTTGGCATTTTTATATTCTTCTAAATTCTAATCATTTCTATTCCCTAACCAAGCTTTGTAACATGATAGTTTTTCACTAATAGCTTTTAAAACCTCATCATTCTACTACCAAGTTTCATTAACTTTGTCATCAGAATTTCATTTTCCTTCTTTCATCAATTTTATTCTTAAAAAGTCTGTTTCATCCTTTTTAAGTTCCACCACCTAGTGTTTGGACACCCATTAATATCACTCCTCTTCCATCTCTTAGTACAAATAACTATAACCATGAGCCTATGTTGCATGGTCTAACTCTCTCCTAGGATAACCTTATAATCTTTACATGATCGTCTTGTCTTCTTAACTAAAAGTCTATCTGGCTTTTATGTGGTCTACTTTTGTAAATTATTAAATGTCATTTCGCTCTTTAAAGTAGATGTTTGCTATTGTTAGATTGTAATCTATAGAAAAATCAAGAATAGCATCAACAATCTCATTTCTTTGCCCAAATATAGCCCCTATATACCCTTACATATCCTCTATTATCTTTTCGTACAAAGCCATTTAAGACCCCTCCTAAAAATGTCCTCTCTCTATTTGGTATTCCTTGGAGTAGTCCATCAATGTCCTCCTAGAATTGTCTTTTAAATTTATCCTTTAATCTATACGTGGCAAGTAAGTACTAACTATATTATCTCTTCACTTAACTCAAGTTTAATTAGTAAGAGCCTATTACCTACTCTCTTAACATCTAGTAATTTATCCTTAAAATCTTTCTCTAGCATTATACTTATGCCATTCATATTAGCATCTCTTCATGTATACCAAAGTTTATCGACTAATTTCCTTAGCGTTTGCCCTTTTCTAATTAATTTCCTGTAAACAAGCTATGTTAACTCTCATTTGTCTCATTGTATCTATTAACTCCATACTCATACCTGATAGAGTTACTACATTCTATGTAGCCAGACAAATCCCATTCATTTGGACTAGCTTCTTTACCCATGCTCGTTCAAAATGGAAAACGAATCCTTGCCTACTTATCACCGCAATTGGGTGTTGTTGCAGTGCGTCCCTTCTAGGGAATGCCCTAGCTAACCCTTGCTCATTTCTCATTGCATCTGGGTTCCAATACAACATGTCGCTTATATGGAAGGCCCTAGCATGTGTAGAAAACATCAGATCAAGATTTATGATAGGGATGGGGCAAAAGTTTTATATAGACTACCCACCTAATACAACTCTCCTCCGAGCTTAGGACTGGCAATGATCTAATATACAAGCCTTTGGAGCGAAGGTTGTAGCCAGCAGGTACTTGAGTTTGCAAATTGCAAGTCTCTTCTCCACTAATGGAGCATGGCAATCAGTTGTGGCAGATATTACTATTATCTACATAGAAGCACATTATATTCAAAAGGGGTATCATGCAAGACCATTATACATTTTTCATGCTCTTCAAATTATTCATAGGAAAACTCAATTGTGCCCACATGATTTGTTGGGATGCTCAAACCCATATGATATCTATGTATTTGCTACAAAAAAGAATCACATCATCATCCTCAAAACCTTATCTCAACTAATTGGGTCGACTATGTGAATCTTGTTTTGCCATTTAGCTCTATCAAGAGCCATACCTTCAAAAAGTCTATAAGTCCTTATATCTTTTCTCACTACTTCTATCCATGTCCTTTTGGCCCCCTCTTGCCCTTTTAGAGCCTTCCACTTGAACAACATCGCACCTCCTAACTGACGCTATATTGAGTTTGCACTAGATGTGGCCAGCCCACCTAAATCTACTTTCCCTCATCGCATATTGAAGCCACACCTAAGTTCCCTCAAATATATTCATTTTAAATTTTACCATTTCTTGTTTTACTACTTATCCATCTACACATTCTCATCTTTAGCTACACTCATCCTCCGAGTATGTTTTTCTTTTTTCTTTTTTTTTTTAATGTTCACATTTGTATTAATAAAAGGAGATTATAGTGTAGATCATGTGCATATAAACACATATTCAAAGTTGGGCATGCCTGCTTGGCATGTGCCCATCACCTAAACCCAACAGAGGAAAAAATAAAACCCCAAAAAGCTCTACATAGACACAGATTAGAAGGGAGGAAAAATCTACTAAGCAACCAAAGAGTTGTTTATACAAGCACCATCCCTAGCTAAAGTGTAAGCAGCAGTATTTACTTCCCCAAAAACGTGTCTCCAAATAATTCTTAAAGAGCCACAGATGACAGCTACTTCATCAAAAATGGGCTCAAGTCTCCACAGGACAGGAGCAAGGCTAAAAGTCCAAGTAATAACATTTTTTGAATCTCCTTCAACAACAAAATCTAAATTCCAAATTGGGTCAAATCTCCGGATGCCTTCAAGCAAAGCTAGAGCCCCTGCGAGTGTAAATCTGAGATGCCAATAGGAGAAGAGTATAGGAGGAGTGTAGAACCTTGTGAGTTTCTGTAATGGCCTCCTATGCTGGATGGGCCGGGTTGCCAAGGGAACAACCATCGCAATTTAACTTAAGATAGCCATCTTCAGGAGGCCTCCACAGAGAAGAGCAAGATATCCTATGGTACAAGAGGTCTTGCCAATTGAAGAAGAGCTTGGAAGCGGAGTAGGTATAGAGGATACTGTGTTTCTTGCTCCAAAAAGATACAAGGGTGCAAAACTTGTCCTTCAAAGAAGGAATGGAAGCCTTTTTCCTCTAAGAATGTAACTATTTCTTTCAAGCCATATGGTCCACTGAGATTGAAGCACTGAAAAAAGCTGGAGTTTGACAAAGAGATATGGAGGCCGAAAGCAAAGAGATGACGAATGGACAGTGGGATAACCCAGTTCCAATCGAAAAGATGGAGGATGTGGGACCAGAGAGCAAAAGCAATGTCACAGTGAAATGAGTGAATAAATTAATGAACATTCGTCTCTTCAGCCCTGGAACACAACACACATCTATTGGGTAAGGAAATTCCTCTTTTTTGGAGATGATCTAAAGTAAGAGCTCTTTCATGTAAACTTACCCAATTAAAAAATTGGATCTTGGGTGGAATAGATGAGAACCATGCCTTGGCAGCAATGGAAGGTGAGGCAGCAGGAGGGTAAAGAGATGATTGGAGGATTTGGTAAAAGGAGGCTACATAAAAAATACCATAAACATTTGGGGTCCATATGATTTTGTCCTCCCCAAATACGAGAATGAAAGTTTGTGTCAGGCTTGAGGACAAAGCCGTGAAGGCAGTGATCTCATCCTCAGAGAGAAATCTTCTGAAATTTCGGTTCCAAGATCTTGAGGACCAAATAGTAGTGAAACTGTCGACAACTGTGGCCAGAGGTTCAACTGAGATTCTAAAAACGGACGGGAACTAGTACTTCAAAAGGTATTTTACCCAAATGTATAGCCAGAAGAGGACTCAATTGCCATTTCTTGGACAGAAGCGCAACCTCTCTGAAAAGAGATTGCTGCATCACAGGATACCAAAAACCAAATAACTGGTCACCGGGACTACAAGAAAGTAACCAAGCATGATCACCTCGACAATATTTATGGTAAGACCATTTCTCTTCAAAGATGAGTTGGCTAGGTGGAAAAGCACCGCCACCATTTACCAAGGAAAGCGAGATTTATAAATTTAAGATTTCAGATACCGAGGCCCCCTTAAACCTTAGGGGTGCAAACCTTTTCCCAAGAGATTAGGTGAAATTTGTGGCTCCCTCACCTGACCATAAAAACTTCCTCATGAGTCTCGCCAAGCTTGCTTGGACAGATTCGGGCATACAAAAAAGAGACATAAGGAAGAGGAAAATATTGAGTTAAAAAAATCTCCCTTGCCATCCAGTGAGTCTACTACCAAACTTGTCGATGATTGAGCTTCACTGATTTAACTTTGGAAGGCCAAGACCGAGGGGAAGGCCTAGGTGAGAGGATGGGATGTCATCGACAACGCAACCCTACTAATTGGTGAAACTTTGAACCATGGAACTATCAAGACAAACACCCATCATTTTAGTCTTGGCCCAGGTAAGAGGATGGGATGTACTTTGGGTATGTTGTTTCTTGACCACCCAACATTCCGTCTCATAAAGCAAAGCTGGTCTCACAACTATCTTATAGAACTTCTCCTTTAGGTTCATTAATATGCACGATCACATAAAACTCCCGTTGCACATCTCCATTTCGCCACCTAGCTATAATTCCGTGTGCAACATCTTCTTCAATCACTCCATTATTTTGGATTATCGACCCAAGGTATTGAAAGTCCTCTCTTATAGGTACTTCCTGGCCAACAATCTTAACTACTTCCTCATTTCTACTCTTCTTATTACTAAACTAGCATTTTATATATTTTGTCTTAATCCTACTGATTTTAAAATCTTTATATTCTAGAGCATCCCCCCAAAGTTCTAACTTTGGGTTGAAGCCGCTTCTAACCTCATTGATCAAAACTATGCCATCTGCAAATAACCTATATCAGAGTACCTCATCTTATAGGTGTCCAGTTAACTCGTCCATAACTAAAACTAGTGCTCCCTCATACATATCACTCACTTTGACAATATATCATCTGGAAACTCCTTTGTTTTCTAACACCCATCAAATTAAATCTCTAGGTACCCTATTGTAAGCTTTCTCTAAATTAATAAATATCATATGATGGTCTTTTCCCTTCTCCCTGAACTTCTCAATTACTTGCCTAAAAAGGAAAATGGCCTGAACTATTGACCTCCCTCGCAAAAAACCAAATTGATTTTTTGATACGCTTGTCTCACGCCTTAGTTATTGCTCAATCACTCTCTCCCACAGCTTTATAGTGTGGCTCATAAGTTTGATCTCTCAATAGTTCGCACAATCCTGCATCTCTCTTTTATTCTTGTAAATAGTCACCACAATACTTCTCTCCATTCGAGTGGCATTTTATTTGTTGTCAACACCTTATTGAACAACTTGGTCAACCAGCATATGCCAATCTCCCCCATGCACTTCCAAACCTCTATTGAGATACTATATGGTCCTAAACCCTTTCTTATATTCATCATCCTCAAAGCTTCTTTAACTTCAAATATCTTAATCCTATGAATATATATATCACATCCACCATCATTTATGCCAAAGGTTCCTCCTAGTATTGTGTTCCCATTGTGTTCGTCATTTAATAATTTTTTAAAATTAACTTTTTACCTTTTGTTGACCTCACCATCCTTCATCAAGACCCTCATATTCTCCCTCTTAATGCATTTAACATAGTCTAGATCCCTACACTTCCCCACTCTCATTTTTGCTAGTTTGAAGACATCTTTTTCATCTTCTCCTGTTCCCAGTTTATTGTTTAGATTATCATACAACTTAAGTTTAGCTTTACTTACTAGTTTCTTAGTGTTTAGTTTAGATTTTTATATTCTTTCAAGTTTTGATTATTTCTATTATATTATCAACATTTCTATTACAAATAAGAATCACATAAGATGGTTTATTAGAACCAAAACTTGGAAATGCATAAAAGCTGACAACCATGCACTTGGTTTTAGTTCAAGTGATAATAAGAAACAATCTTCAACAAAAAGAGTGATAAGTGAAAACTTGCACTCAGTTTTAGTTCAAGTGATAATAAGAAAACAATCTTCAACAAAAAGAGTGAGAAGTGAAAAGAATTTGAAATACATCGAAAAGTTAAAGAATGGAATCTGTAGAAATCAGTCAACAGGGAAGTGTACCTGGCAGAAAACAAAAGTATTGAAAATGAATGTATTCAGCACAGAATCTGCATTTGAACCACTTAGTCCGAGGAGCTTCTTTCCATAGAACTCGAGTACTCCGAGTACCACAAGCTGATAAACACTTTGTCCAATAATATTCCTCCACATGGACCTACTGATGAAGCTAACATTCCTCCCAACTGGTGGTCTTTTCATCATTTCATCATCTGGAGGCTCTGTAGCCAATGCTAAAGCACCAAGAGTGTCCATTATCATGTTGACCCACAACAACTGAACAGCAGTAAGAGGAGCACTACCTGAAAGTTACTTGGCAAAATCAATTCAACAGATTCATGCAACAGGAGAAAATAATGTGTACTTCCTTTGATGGGCCTTACCAGAGAGTTTTCAAACAAATAAATATTCTTACCTGTAATGCATGCTGAAAAAAAATTGATGATGAGAGCAACCACATTCACTGTTAACTGGAACTGCACAAACTTCTGAATATTTATGTACACTGCGCGCCCCCATTTTGTAACATTTACAATGGTGGAAAAGTTGTCATCTAGTATGATGACATCAGCATTTTCTTTTGCAACCTGAACATCAATCATCATACATTTCATCAATACAACAAAATGAAGAAAAACATCACGGTGAACAATACTGAAGGAAATCAGAGAAAAGGATAATGCCACCCATTGCAAGCCTAAAACATGTCAGAAAACAATCCCCATTGTTGAATATTACTTGAAACCTCAGTTTCAAACTGGAATCAAGTCCTGAACATGTAGAGCCTAGATATGTTGCATGCGAGAACAAAGAGAGTGTTAAGAACAAACATGCCCGGCATTAAGGCATACATAAAACTATTCATGGTGTTGATCCCAAAAAAGACCAGTTTTTATTTGCTCCTCCCATAATAATTCATGCATAGATAAAAACTGTTTGAGAAGTTCGCATCCAATCTGTTAAAGAATTTCTACATACCCATCTAACTAAAACAGATCCCATAGGGTAATTATAAACTTTACAAAACAGAAACAGAAGCTCATCACAAAAGTTTCATGTGTAGTTCTTACACGAAGGGACTCAGAAGAACAATGGGAAAATTTGCAGCAGTAAAGGTGGGCATACCGGAAAATTAATATGCTTTGAAATAACAAATTTTCTGAAATAATATCAAGAACAAATGCGGCACAAACCTCAGTTCCTGCTATACCCATTGCAAGTCCAATGTCTGCCTCATGCAGAGCAGGTGCATCATTGGTCCCATCACCAGTCACAGCTACAACTTCATGGAAAATATTCCTCAAGTTTGTCACCAATTTATGTTTGTCCAAAGGCAAGGATCTGGCCATCACCTGCACTCAAGATCACACTAAGGCTTGATGAAATACAACAATAAATACAAAATGCAAAGAACTTTAGAAAAGGAAATAAGGACCTGAATTTTTGGAATCAACTCCTCCATTTCCTCCTGCGTTTTCTTTTGGAACTCTGGCCCTTCAATGGCTATACCATCATCTGTCAATATGCCACATTCTCTAGCAATTGCTTTGGCTGTATTTATATTGTCACCTGTAACCATTCGCACTGTAATACCAGCATTTCTACATGTTTGAACAGCATCCTTAACACCAAGGCGAACTGGATCTTTGATGCCAACAATAGCCACTAATGTATAATCATCCATAGGAATAACATCCCCATCAAAACTCTCATCCATGTCCTTATAAGCAAGGCAAAGAGTTCTAAGAGCTTCACCAGCAAAACTGTTTATGATATCCATAACATGATGCCTATACATCTCATCCATACAGACAACCTGACCTTCTCTATCTACAATCATGTTACACATTTGCAAAACAATCTCTGAAGCGCCTTTACAAAAGGCACGGAATCCTCCTCCAGGAAGAGCCACAACTACTGACATTTTCTTCTTAACAGAATTGAAAGGCTCAACCTTTACCAATGTTGATTGTGCACGTTGGCTTGCAAAGTCACCCCCCACTAGTAATCCAAATTCCAGTATTGCCGTCTCTGTAGGGGTACCGAAGACTGTATTCCTTCCTTCTGTGCTTCTCACCACCTCTGCACCTGTGTTTTGAAATATCGATTGCAAAAGGGTGCTCAACACTCTCTCAGAGATAACTGACTTCAATTCCTCACCTCTTTCTCCAACCTTAAAATCCTTGACTTGATCACATATCCACAGCTTAGTTAAAACCATATGGTTAGTCGTTAATGTCCCTGTTTTATCAGTGCAAATACATGTTGCAGATCCCATTGTCTCACATGCAGCTAGATGCCTCACAAGCGCCTTATCATTCATTAATTTCTTCATGGCAAAAGCCAGACTCAGAGTCACGGCCAAAGGTAGTCCTTCAGGAACCGCGACCACGATTATGGTCACTGAGATAGCAAAATAATCTAATATCTTCAGTGCATCACTTGAAGACCAGTTTGAAAAATCACCATTGATCGCCTTCTCGACTGAGAATCTGATTATTAGAACCAGAAATGTAAGAACCGCGAATGTTAATCCAATTTTCCCAATGATTGTGGCAACCCCATTGAGCTTTACCTGCAACGGTGTCTCATCTTCTCCTCCCTCACTCAGAGTCTCCATTAACCTACCCCACTCTGTCCTCATTCCAACTGAAGTCACCAACATCTTACCAGACCCATCCTGCACTTTGCTTCCAGCTAAAAGGAATGGCCTCCCTTGATCTACATTCACTGGTTCACTCTCCCCAGACAAGCTCGACTCATCTATAAGGAGACTGTAGCCTGATATAAAGAGCCCATCTGCAGCCACCTGATCACCGATAGATAGATGAACAATATCTCCTACAACCACATCAAAGATTGATATCGTTTGCCTGCACCCATCCCTCGTAACCTGCACAAATATCTTCTTCTTCTCCTTATCCAAATCCTTGAATTGTAGAGATTGCCTATAGTCACTTATTGCAGTAACAATCACAACCAAGAACACACTCAGAATGATTCCTAATCCATCATATGTACCCTTTGGAAACCCCTCAGTGCTTACACCAACTGCAATCGATACCACTGCACATACCATGAGGATAATGAGAGTCATATCGTGTAAAGCTTCCCATACAAATGTCAAGAAACTCCTGGAGGGCTTCTCAACATAGCGATTGACACCATACACATTTTGCCTGAGCTCTATGCTTCGTGGGTTGAGACCATCATTGAGGGAGGAAGAGACCTTTCTTGCTATGCCTTCAACCCCACCATTGGATTTCAGCCTGTTGTGGTCATGGCCTCGTACGATTGATGACAACTCTTTTGCATCAATGCCAAAACCAGCTCTCCGAGCCTCTTCAGAGAGAGCGTAATCTTCATCACCACCTCCACTAACAGCTGGGTGATTGCAAAACACAAGATAGACAATTATCAGACAAGAAATAAATAGCAAACACAAGTTAAAAGACAAGTTCCTAGATGAAAGGATCCTTGGAGAAAGATGAGAGAATATACCTTCGATGAATTGCAGGGCAGCCTTTTGGACGTAAAGAGCAATCCGTATCTTTTCCTGCAATGCATAAAAACAAATGATAAGGAATAAGTACGGAAATCCAAAGACTTTGACCTCTTCGTATGAAACGAAGCGACTTTGATAACATTGAGCGTAAGCAATCACAACCTAGTCCAATAAATTAGAGTCCAATTCAAAAGAGCAAATGCCACTTTAATTGGTTTATCATGACGAAATACTAGCAAAGAAATTAAATTGAGAAGTGGGAAAATGGGTGATGCTCCTTATCTCAATAGTAAAAAATTCGAACTTATGATTCACAAACAAGCACTAGAAAGGCTCCCACTACAATTAAAAGGAGCACAAAAGGATGAATGATGGTTCCTCAAGATAATTGCTTTGGACAACAGCATCCATGGATGCATATGCTTTAACCCGGTATATTTGAAGAAGGAATGACAACCAAAGGTTACCAAATGTGTGTCCTTATCTATTCTGCCAACCAGAAGGGTCCAAATGTTTTGACCCTCAAACTAGAAAAATGAGAATTATGTGCTTTCACAAAATGTTACCCCCTTTCAATGTTAGAGCCTAATGTTTTAGTAAATGATGATTTGGACTCAGACTCGGCTAATAGAATCTATCTGGTATCAGGGAGCATTTGACACAAGTCGTTTGATTTTTTTTTTTTGACAATATCACAAAGCTTTAATATCATGGAGAAATATGAATGAGTTACCAATTAAATTGTTACCCCATTTCAATATTAGAGCCCAATGCTTTAGGAAATGATGATTTGGACTGAGACTCGTCTAAGTTAATAGGATCTGGCATCAGGGAACATTTGGCACAAAGTCGTTTGATTTTTTTTTTTAAAAATATCACAAAGCTTTTATTAATATCATGGAGAAATATGAATGAGTTACACAATTAAATTGTCACTAACAATCAAATCTATTAAATCCACTCCCCTATTTGCTCAACCTAATACTTGTCTACTTGAAATAATCCAAATCTTTCTCTTTTACTTCTTCTCTATATCCCCCACCAAAATCCAAATTGTCTAACTTTTCTCTCTATTACTGAACAGAAGCAATTTCCAAACTCTGGCCCTACATGTTTCCCAAGACTGAAAAGATAGGGTTCTATGGATGAAAGGAAGAATACATTGAGATTCAAGATAAAGCATGAAAATAGGTAGACAACAGAAAGGGAAAGATGCCTTTTGGAAATTTTAGTTACAACTCTTCCTATTTTTCTAAAAAATAAAGTTTATATTAAATTTGGTGGGTAAATTAGCTGCACCTCTTCCTTCCATTTTCTAAACAAAATTTGCATGAAATTAGGTAGGACACAAATTCTTATATTTATAAATTGAATATATTTCAGTCTCATCCAAACCAAAATAAAACATCAGATATGAAAATCTTCTACTGTTTAATATTCTAGAAAGCCATGTAGAAAGCAGACTTGTCAGCACCGAATATTCAATAATTGGCATTTATATAAAACAAATATCCTATTTTCCATATTCTAAGAAAATTCTAAATAGAAGTACTGAAGATAATTAATTTGTTCATCTAATTCGATGTTAAAAACTTCATGTCTTCAATCCATCACACCTTAACCATGTATACTAGTAGACAATGATGGCCTACTGCAAGGCTTCATCCTTGCACTTTCCTATGGTAACACCAATTTTATCCGTTTTTGCAATTTTTCTTAAAAGCTAAATCCTTATGCCACACAAATTCTCCATTAGTAAGGGCAACTATACAATTAATCAACATTACACATTTCGAATTCCATAAGCAACTCCCAAGGCATTTACACCATAACATCATTTCACATGTGTTGTGCAATTATTGTTGGGATTTTGAGGCCATTTAAAGCATGTAATGGGTTTTAGAATAGTGGAATAATCAATTCCAAAGGGAGTATGGTCCAAAGGGGCCAAAGTTGGCAACATTGATGCCAAGACAAGGACTAAGCTTGACGAGCTAAGCCACGTTGAGTTCTAAAACCCCATAGACCTGGGCATATAACACAACCGAGAAAGGTTTCCAGGGTTAGCCCTAATGAGGTCGGAAAGATGCTCAAGGTAATTGTTCAAGGGACTTAGTGACCTTGTATTCAATTAGTACACCTAAAGGGACAAGGGTCAAATCCTCATCATGACCATCACCCGGCATGTAGCCGTATTAGGAAGTGCACACAATTGAGAGTGTGATATATACATGTGTGAGAGATTGCCCTCTTACACTAAGGTGGTGTTTGATAACTGTGTAAAAGGGTGAAAGTCCAATTGCAAGTTTCATTACATACCATTGAGGGTGTGATATATACATGCACGAGAGATAGCCCCTGTACCCTAAGGTGGCGTTTGATAACTATATAAAAGGGTGAAAGTTTAGCTCTAAGTTTCAAACGTTTGATAACGGATACAAGTGGGAAAGTCGGAACACCAATTTTCCAAGTTTCACTATTCATCTTTGCAAAATTGTTGCGCATGAGGGAGGGTGCGCAGCAGCTTTCGCTAAAAGTTGGAGCACCCTTTCAATGAATAATCCTGCGTGAAGTCCCCCGTGAACCCGTGAGATTCTCTACAAAAGTGCTGCCCTCTACAACCCTAACCCATGAAGCCCTTTCTCAGCCACGCTGTGCTGCCCTCTGCCACCTTATAGAGACGGCGTGAAGATGCCCTTTCTCTACAAGGGCCACTCTGTGCTACCATCTGCAACCCTATAGAGACGACATGAACCCGTGAAGCACTTCCTCCACAAAAACTAGTCTCAAAGTGCTGCCCTCTGTAAACCCCGTAGAGAAGAATACCTTCAGAGAAGAATATCAACACAGAAGAATACCTCACAAAAGAATACCCTCAAAGAAGTATACCCCAAATCAGTGAGTTTTTTACTTTTTTTTTAAGTTAAATCTTCATATGATTCAGCTCTATCGATTTTTTTTTGTTATGATTTTTTATAATAAGGCCAAATCGGTGAGGTTTTTATTTTTCTTTTATTTTGGCTCATAAACCCCAAATCAATGAGTTATTTCACTGATAAACCTTAAATCAGTGAGTTAACACACTGATAAACCCCAAATCAATGACTTTCTTTTTTTCTTTTTCTTTTTTTCGTTTGTTGCTATTTGTGATGATAACCCCAAAATATTTAAGTAAACTCACTGATAAACCCAAATCAGTGTTTTAAATTTTTTTTTTACTATTTTTATGATGTTAAACCCCAAATGACTGCAAGAATGTTTATTTGTTTTATGTGCTGCAATTTTATATGATAAACCCCAAATCAGTGAGGCTTTTTTTTTTTTTTTTGCTTCTATTTTGGCTCATAAATCCCAAATCAGTGAGTTTTTAATTTATTTTTACTGTTTTTTATGATGTTAAACCCCAAATGATTGCAATAACGCAATTTTTCTTTTTGCTATGATTTTATATGATAAACCCCAAATCAATGAGGCTTTTTTTTTTTGCTACTAGTTTAGCTGATAAACCCCAAATCATTGAATCTACTCACTGATAAACCAATGAGGTACTTATTAATAAACCCCAAATCAGTGAGTTTACTCACTGATAAACCCCAAATCAGTAAGTTTACTCACTGATAAACCCCAAATACTGGCAGTTTCCAGCTTTCCCATTGCTGAAACTTTCTCATTGCTAAAGGAGTGAAATTATCAGCACCAAATTTTATCAAACAGAGTTTCCAGCTTTCACCCTACCAATTTTCATCTGCTATTCCAGAATATCGAGGAAGTCAGCAGCAGGGGTGGTTCTTAGGATTCTCAGGACACTGCAGTGAAAGTTTATCAAATACCACCTAAGTGTTCCTAGGGGAAACCTGTAATCCATGGACTAGGGCTATGTTCTCATCACCTCTTGGCTAGTTTTGGCAGTCCAATCATGAATCCCTATGATGGATCCCTATGATGGACTGTGGGTGATGATAACTATTGCTTCAGTTTGATAAAACAAGTATGGGACATGGAAACCAGAGGAGATGGAATGTCCCAGTATATTCGCATTTTCCTTAACAAAGTTGGATCCAATTCACATCAAATAATTTTAAAATGTTTAATTCTATGTTAAATGATTTTTATAATATTAATATGAATTTTTAGATAGCTCTAGATATTTTATTTTATCAAAATTGATTCTTAAAAGGACTAAAATTGATTTTTCACAAGTTAAAATATTCAGAGAGAAAAATAAAATACTTATATTTTTTAAAACTAATTTCATTATTTTAAAATTCATTTAAGTTTGTGGGCCCTAAAGTACATTGAGGCCCACCACATTAGGCCCAGGGGCATGGGACCCACTCGAGTCACACAGGTTGGATACCCCACTCTTTCCATTATCTCTCTTAGGTTATGAGATGGCTTGTTGAAGAAGCCATCTATAAGGTATGCAGTGATGTGGTCAACTGATTTCAAGATGAAAGTATGATATTTGAATTAGAATTATATGACATAAATTTAAATCATATGACAATTTCAATTAAAAGGATTTTGATGGAATTAGGTTAAGGGATAAAGTTCTAGTACTTTCATTAGATCATGATGGTAGATCTAAGTATTGTACAGTTAAGATATCTCATCCCACAAGTCATCAATGATCAACAGTCAAGATTGAGTCTTCATAAGGATGGCTAAACCCTAAATCCCAAAACCTGACCTCACTATTATAAATACATCTCTTTGGGAGGTCAAATCTCTCAACCCTAACCAAGAGCTCTCTTTCTTTCTCACCTTCTCATAGGTGGCACGCCACCCTCTCTCTCTACTCTTCTCTTCTCTCTCTTATAATCTCTAGGACTCCGAAAAATAAGAAAGGGGCCACACCTCTTGGTGGTTTGATAAGAAAGGGGGTATGCCCATATACTTAAAGAAAAAGGAACCCATCTCATGTTCACATGTGCTCTCATATTTTAACTGGAGGGTTTAACCAAGCTTCCCATTTGCTAAGATTCAAGAAAGACCACGATCCTATGCTCTATTGGTGGAGGAGATATGGTGTAAGGTGTATAAAGTCCACT